ATATATATATATATAATTATTCCACTTTATATAAGATCCTAATGCCATTTTGCATAGAAATCTGACATGAGGTTTTAGTATTATTCTTTTCCTTATTCATTTTACAACATAAATCAGGACATAAAAATAATTATTTTTTCAGTTTAAGATTAATTTTCATTCATACAGAATATGGAGATCATGTTTATTATACGAATAATACTTTCTCTAACCTTCACCATAATTCATGAATATTACATGAAATAAATTTCTAGTTTAATTGAGAATTATGGTGTATTATTATTATTATGTCTACCATTAAAATACACTATAATAAATATAACATAAATTAAACGTATGTATATGTATATTTTAAAATTTTCCTTCATTATACTTTACCAACGTGATCGATTTGAATCAAGGAAAATCTTCTTCTAACCCTTCAAGCAATTTATGTCTATTATTATTATTATTACTAGAAAATTACTATTGTACAGGTTTATTTTGTCGATATTCCTTTAAAATTTACCGTAAAAATAAAAGAATTTTTTTAATTACTGAAGTGTATTTTGTTGAATTTGACAAAATTTAAAATTTATTAAATATAGGTCTATATTAAATAATTGTTTTATATATATAATTAATTAATATAATATATATAACAATCATTTAAAACATATATTTACTCCTGTATTATTATGGATATATCCGCAATAATACAGGAATAAATATATGTTTGTACTGTAGTAATTCGGGCCCTTTCTAATATCGTTTCTAGTGATGCTACTGCATCTTATTGCCCAATTGTCTTTCAATTAAAATATATAGCCTATACTATAAAATTATATTAATTAAATTTTCTGAATAAAGAATCTGTAATAGGTATAAATCTACAAAAATTTACTGTATGTATAAATTCAACAGTTTAATTTACTATGCTCTTATCTCTTACGATCCTCTTAATACACAAAAAATATTAAAATAAAATATAATAATTTTATATTATTCTATGAAGTAGATATAATAATTTTATTTCAAAAAGATCTTTCTAACATTTATTTTGGACCTCTTAATATTAATACTTCACATTTTAGAATATTAATTGAAAGGTACAAGAAACTTTGTCATTCAAGTAACATAACAGAGAAAATGTATGATGATCAGTCGAAAAATATTTTTACATTTTTGGACTAGGGATCTTAAAACGCCGAGAAATGCAAATATATATATATATATATATGGGGTTTTTTGGTATCTATATATTAATTAATATATTAGTGTATGGATAAGTGAAGGAGGCACGAATTTTTCACCCACTTTGGAGCTAAATAACTCTTCCTGTTCCTTTTGTCAATAATTTCTGAAAGTTGACACGAAAGTTTATGTATTAGGAGAAAATGGTTCTAGAAATTTTCAGGAAAATCGGACCGTTGGTTTGAAAGATATGGCCCCATCCTTTTAATATCTTCCAAACTAATTTGAAGACTTAAAGATAATGGTAACAATTATCAGGAATTAAATAATAAAGAATGCAGAGAAAGTTGAACAACAGCGTTGTCAGTTATTTTTAAATAATATTTCTTAAAAATTTACGAGGCATCCAGCTATATTTCGTTATTTATTATATAATTTATCTGATAAAACGAAAATATCTAATAACGTCTTAATAAATGAATAGAAATATTAAGAATTCTGAATCAAGAAAATTTTAATAAAATTTTAATTTATTTATAAAATTTTTCTTCCATTCAGAAAGACAAGCGGCGATGATTGACCACTTAATTACAGAAATTACGTCATATTATGTCAAGGTCAATACTATTCATTAGCTATATTATTTCTCGATGCTGTCAAAAATGAGAACACCCTTTGAGGAAGTCAGTTCTTCACATCTTATCATGTATCTTCCATCAAACAGAAGTTGCTAAATATGATAGAGAAATACACTGTTAAGCAAGATATCGTTTGTCCACCGGTAACCGAGTGAATAACGCCACTAAACACTAGTCGTGGGTTCGCATCTGACCACTGGGTCTGACCAAATGGCGTTTTCCGAGTTTTATTCGCGTATATAACACCTAAATATGGACCAGTTTCCTATAGACAGTCCCTCGGGAAGCTTCGCTTTGGCATATCACCCATGTGTTGCACGGTCTTATTCCATCATAACGCTTTTCAAGCAAAACATAAGTGTATGTATTATTAAACAATACAAAAGTTGTTTTATATAAACTTTAAATATTTTATTAAACTAAAGTCCTTTATGCTATTTTTAAATATTTAGTTATAATGAAATAAAAATTTAGGAATTTTGTATTGTGATTGACACAGCAGTTTCAAAATGTAAGTTTATGTGAAGATTTCTAAACATGTAGAAACACGAAAGAGTAGAAAAATCTCGATATAAAAAATTTAAACTTTAAAATTTCAGAATTTTTCGTATTTAAATATAAAAATAGCATATAGACCCTATAGAAATCGTGTCGTTTATAAAACCTTGACCGTACATTCCGATTGAATCGAGATTCTGAAGCTTGGATGTTGTAATTTTTGTCATAATATTTCTCAATATTGCTTGTTGAAATAATAAATTACTTCTATATTAATGTATTTAACTGATGATTTAGACTTAGAATTGATTATCTTTTTAAATATCACGTAATTAGTTTAATTTGTTTGTATGTTGTAATGCGATACGTGGGCGATCTGCCAAAGAGAGTTGCTCCCAGGAAGACTTTTTATCTATGAAACTATTTAGATGTTATTAATGTAAAGAAAACTCGGAAAACTTCATGTGGCCACCCGTTGGTAATTTTCTATAATTTTTTTTATTCGTTGTTTAAAAATATCTCATTAGTTTCCTTATTTCTTTAAAAATTCCACAGTTTCAATAAGAAATATGAGTATTTATTTAATTTATTTAAAAAAATTAATTTTATATAATATCTGCATTGTATTTAAATTAAGCATTCATAAATTATATATAATTAAAACATTTATAAGGGTAAAAGTTTTCTTTATAATATATTAGAGTATGATAAATTAATTTTAAATATTAAATTTCTCGCAAATATATGACGTATCTTCATTTTATGCTTCCAAAAAGTATACTAATTTGATTTTCATTAATGCTTTTAAAAATATGCTATATTACTTAAATATTTAAACTAAAATAAAATTAATATTATAAAAAAAAATAAAAATAGAAAATTTTCTGTATAAAATAATTTTATAATGTTTTTCTAGTAATTTGTTTCAATCAGAATGATGAGAACAGCTTTGTTTTTTTGATAATTCATTCTATTATTTTGAGATATTGAAAATTTTTTAGTATATTTCGTATAAATACATAAAATTTTATGTATATTTAAATTTAAATGAATCAGAAATATTTTTTCTTTACAAAAATCTCAATGTTTCATTGACCTTTTGGTGACATTGAAAAGTGCCCACACGATAAAATCATTGTAACGTTTTAAATTACTCGGAAATAGTTTTGAATATTTAAATCACTCTTAAAATAATTGTTTGCATTGCATTTTTTATTAAAAAAAATCCTGAAGGCAATGACTTATTCCCAGGTCAAATTTATAAACGTCCAGTCGGTGGTAACTCGATTAAAATTATAATCTATTGACCCAACGAGCTATAAAAGTTCTATTTTTTTAAACTTGTTCTTGAACCTGTTAAAGGACATTCCACTACCTTCACCTAGACTCGTTACAAGAGTTCAAATCTAAAATAAAATTTTATAAAATTTATTATTTAAAAAAAAAAATTATGAAAGTTAGTTTATTTTTTAAAAATATTCATCATCTATTTTTTTCAAATTTTATAAATAAATTCAAAATATAAGCAGAAAATATCGCATATATAAAAAATTTAATGGCATTTTAATGTCTTCAAAGTTGTTAACAGTCTAAATTCATATTTCTCTTTTGTTATACAATTGAGAAGAGTAAAATATACTTGTAATCGAAACTAGTTATTGCAGGTATATTATGATACCCTGAATAATCTTTTAACCTATTATCTTTAACTGGTTGCATCTTTATGAAGAAACAAGAATCATTACTTATGCAATATTTCTTCGAAAGCCTTTAGACATATCACATTGATGTCCACACGATTTTAACTGTCACGGTCATACCTACTCAAAATTCAAGGTTTTATTTCTTATAACTCGTTTAATTAAACAGTTTAATTATAATAATATACAAATAATAATTTAAATATTTTTTTAGGAATTTACGTGAACCAAAAACGAAATTATAATTTGACATTATTATGATGTACGTAGGAAGTAGTTTTTATATAACTGGATCCATTCAACTGGTTATAGAAAATAAAGAATATTTTCGTTGTTTCGGTTCCTTGAATAATTATATAATGAAATATCTACGCTACATTTACATATTGTTTTAAATTAAAAACGAATTTTTAATTTTTATAAACATCCGTTTGTACTTTTCACTAATTTTAAATCATTTTAACGTTTAAAAATAGTTTAAAATTGAATTTATAACTTTAAATATATCGAAATTATTATTATAATTTACATTATGTAACTCGGAATTTTTATTATTTTCAGTGGTATTATGGTCATGTTTTCAAATCTTCCGAGAGATAAACAACACGAAGGGAAATTTTATGTTCTTTCTTATCTAGGAAGAAGGCTCTTCAGGTATTTAATTAATTTATACTTTATTATAATTAATTAATATACAAATGCAAATATTATAGTTAGTATATTATTATTATCGACTATGTTGTGATTTTAATCCTCAAAAATTAAAGTATTTTTTCTATCGTTCTTATTTATACACATATATTGAAATTTAAAGCATATCAGACATTAAATTTATGCGATTTAAATGAGCAAATTTGCAGAGTTATAATAAATTCGAAATTTAAAATATTTAGTTTTACAGCTTAATTTTATTTGTCAATATGTAAATCTTTTTATAACTGTTGTGCAGTCAAACCTCGATTTGAGGGATTTTTCAGTGTTCTCTTAAGTGGTGCCAACCCGTAAAGTGTTAATGAATCTTTCCCATAAATATTAAATAGATATCTCTTCTATGCCTGTGCATTAAAGGGATCTTTACATTTTACATTGCAAACGTTATTGTTGTTATAAAATTAAGTGGCTTTCAAGCTCTGAAACTCGGTTTGATTGGATTAATGGGATAAAGCAACGCAACACGTTGTCGATCTGTCATGATGGTGGTGCATTCCGAGGACTTTCTTTAGAAAATTGGTCTCCTGTTAAGGTGTTAAACACGTGAAAAATCCAGAAAATTCCGTATGCGCAGCCCTTATATGAGACCAGATCCCGCGACAAATTACTAGTGTTCTTTGGTTTTATTCATTCAGTCACTCTAGAGGACTCGGGATTGAATTCGGACGGGTCAAGAAACTCCGTGGGTGGTTGGTTGGTCCTGATATGTCGGTCCGTCCGTCATCCAACTGTTGGCTGGCCGAATCATAATTAACTTGCTAAATAGACCATCTTAGTTCTATAGAATGGAAAGAATTTTTAAAAACAAGTATTGGCGCTAAATCGAAGTTTGGCTGTATGTTTCTTTCGTTATAAATTGAAAATTTTATTGTCGTCTCATTGATTACCGACACGCTATCGAAACCAATCTTTATTTTTTATTTACTGATTGAGAAATTACGTACAGTACTAGTAACAATTCTACATATTCATTTGCATACAATAGAAATTCTGTGATAAGAGTACAGGGTATTCAAAAAGCAATGATGTACTCTATACTTACATATACAGTATATAATTATCAAAAAATAATTTATTAGCTTTCCAGTAACGTGAATATATAATTGCATCTATATGTTTAGATGAACCTAAAATACGCGGTTAAAGTATTATTATGAAACTATTAATTGATAATACATAATATAACGTCTTAAAATACTAGTAAAATATTCAAAAATTAATTTTTAATTTAGAAATAATGAATTATATTAAAACAATTCTACATAAATTTTAAACTTCCTATAACGGCTACCTGTAAACAGCGGCCATTTTTTCCAGGAATTTTGTTGTTATTTTAACAAATGCGTATAAAAAATCCCCGAAAACAGCCCCTTTTTTATGTTCCCATCATTGACCGTTGTTTACAAGTTTCATTTTATTAAATATTCATAAATAAATGAATAGATTTATTCAACAATTATTCAGTTGACAAATTCATCATAATTTATTGAATTTCTTTGCATGTGTCATATTGGAAAGTATAAAGTTTCTTAAGTTGCTTAAACCGTTTATGATTTAATTTACCCTATAATCTATCATCTGGTGTAAAATTACACCTCGTTTTAGCTATTATATCGGGTATGAACTTGAATTTGTAATCCATCTTGTTGACACGCATTCTCTTTTACAAGGCATTCATTCATCAATACGTCATACAGCGTAAGAACAATGCCGAAATTTGTCATTTAAAACATCATAAATAAACTTATAACGAAATTAGTCATTATATTTTGAAATTTTGGTATCTTAAAATCTTTTTATACTATAAATACTTAATCATAAATTTTAAGTAATAAAGAAAATATTGCGCAAAGTTATGTTATTATTATTTTTTATAATGATTACGTTTCTCAATAACTTAACAACTCTATTTCCTTATAAATTTTTGCGAAAAACGAAACTTTCCCTTAAAATCTTTCTTAATTTACATTGCTTTACATAAAAATTAGTAAAAATCAAGAGATTAATTACGAAAAAATATCAAAAAATGACATAAAATATTGAAAGAACTTAAATAAATTAATTGATATTTGTGGCTTCACTTCGAAACTTGCTAATTCATTAGGATTTTCAAGAAACAAGTTATAATTATCGCTGAAGGGCAAATGCTTAGTAATGCTAATATATAAGTAAATTAATATTACTGTCCATGCTAATAACGATTAATGGCAAGATGAATAGGTTCGTTAGCTTTTCAGACATTTCATGAATACAGTATTCTTCATACTTTTTATATAAAGCAATAATAATGCATTACCTTTATATCATCATTTAACTTTCTTTGTATCATGTTCTTAAATCTTTCAACTCAAATTTCATTTACTTCAAAGTTCTAGCCTTGTATCTTAATTAGAAGACCTACCTAAGTCTGATGACAATACATTTCAATGATGTTTAGAGGAGGATTCACCTCATTATCCTCCCTACCCAACATGTGGGCATCTGTCAAGACGGGATACTTCCGGGAGGACTTTCTATGGAAAATTAGCCCCTATTTAGGTGAATTATACTATATCAAAGCAGAATTTAGATAAAGAACAATACTTTATCAGTTATAAAGTCTCTACTTTTTAAATTCTTAGCTAACTTTGAAATTTATTTTATATTTACACTTTATATATTCACAATAGAAAAAAAATTAATTATTTCTTTTAAAAAATACAATGTTAAAATACTTAATTAAAATTCTAATAACGTAATATCTATAACGTAAAACTTCCTGGTATTTGAATAATTTACATATTTTATTTAAATAATAAATTTATTTTCGTATATTGGATAATATATTTATTGTATATTATTATTTTGGTTTATTTCCAAAGGGCATTTACTTCTTTGTCGATTGTTGCTTACCTTGAGAATATTTTATGCCATATCTAGCAAAATTGCAGTATGCATAATTTCGTTTAAATTTTTCCACTGAAATCGCATTGATAAGATATAGTCATTTTATATGTTTTATAAACATCTCGTAAATTTTACTACTTATAGGCTACATCGTATAAGTTCTTGTATACTAAAGCTCAATGATTATCTAGTAGGAGCGTTACATTAACAAATATTCTAATTAAAATTCAATATATTCTGTCTTTGTCTATATGCTAGTAAATTTTCGAATGAAATGTAAAAATAAATATAGTGAAACCTGTGAACAACGGTTACTGACGGAACGTAGAAGATGGCCGTTGTAAGGAGGTTGTTTTGGTATGCAATTTTGTTCGAAAAACTTCATAAAGAATGGTCGTTGTTTAGAGTTGGTCGTTATTAGAGGTTTGATTATATAATATAGAGTTTAATGATGCAGCTGTTTAATTTACATCAATTCTTTGTTGTAAAATACAGTAATGAATTCAGTTTTGATTACGTATGTTTTGGTTTATATCGTTTGTTGCATATTTTGTAAGCATTATATATAAAAATTTATTGCGTTATTATATCATAAAACAATTCCCTTCATTAAGGATGTAAAGTGTACATTTAATAAATTAAAAATTAATTAGGAAAAGGTTATTAATTCGATTGTTATTCANTTCGGATAATTGATACTCTACTGCAGTGTTCTGCAACCTTTCTTCTTTCAGCACACCAAAATGTTTTCCTCAAATATTTTACATTTAATTTCTTAGAATATATAAAAATGTGTGGCTTGTAATAAAGAATAAACAAACATCGTCTTATTTCATCATTGCTGTGGCAGAGAATGAAATACAAGCATAAAAAACACAGCAACTGTGATTAAAAATATATAAATAAAACTTGAAATTAATAGAATATGTAAAAGTTTACGTCACACCTTCACCTTTGTGACAGCACACTGTTTGCAGAACACTGCTCTACTATAATTGCAGGCTGCATATTCATACTACTTTTAAGTAATGTCTTTAAAAAATTTATCCTTTATCAAATAAGGTAAATTAAGATAATTGTTTTCTCTAAATGCATAGAATATGCATTACATATTCTTGATTTTGCTATCCTTTTACTTTTGTACATGCAAATGCAAAATCAATGCAAGATCACTAAAAAGTAAACTGATTTGAAATTTCTCAAAAGAAAAAAATTTAAATCTCAACAATAGTTTTCCTAATATTTAAACATCATTATAACCTGATACATTATAAAACTACAAGCCAACCAATGCAGTATGTCATCAGGCTAGAAGATGGTTATAATACTAATAAATTATGAAACAAACTCCTCCCCTCTAGTACCAATCTCTTATTATTTAATTAAACATTCAAGAAGAAGTGGCAAAAGATAGAGAGGAAGTTGCTGATTAACGCTGCGAGTATTGTTTCAAATAAAATTACAATAGTTGTTTGAAGTATTCTCTATGAAAAATACGGTATTACACGAGAACGATTGCGCTTAAGAGAAAACACATTGCCATTAAGAATAAAATTAAACTTTCAAGGAATATACGTAAGGTCGGTCACCTCTAAATTACGGCCATTATTTAAGAACTTTTTTTAAACAAACAAACAAAAAAAGCGTTTCCAAAAATAACCTCCTAAAAACGGCCCCGGCCACTAAAAAATCTATTTTTAAACTCGCAATAACGGCCACTGCCCTTGGAATGACGCGTAGAAAATTATAATGCAGTGTATAAAATCAGTCACTATTGATAAGATGGCTAGTTTGGCTATCAGATATCGTGTAATTAATAAACTTGTCAGTAAAGGTAAAATAATAAATATTTCTTTAAAAAAATTCTTCTATAACACGCAGAGAACAACTAAAAACAATACGTCTTCTGTTAAAATATGTAAAGAAAGAACACTGTTTTCGGCCAGAAGTCATAAGTAAAAACAATCTTAACACTAATTAAGTTTTAGATGATTTTTTTGTCACCACAAAAAATCAGTTCCTTTTTCGTATTCATAACGTAGGTCACGAATACCACA